CCTGCACCCCCTTGGTGCTCAACGGTGCCCTTGGGTGCCCATGGGGCGTCCTGCACCTCAGGGTGCTCAACAGTGCCATCAGGTGCCTGTGGTGCCATCCTGCACCCCAGGGTGCTCAAAAGTCCCCTTGGGGCATCCTGCAGCTCATGAGAACCAAGAGCACCTTTGGGTGCCCATGGGACATCCTGCACCCCAGGGTGCTCAACAGTGCCATCAGGTGCCTGTGGTGCCGTCCTGCACCCCAGGGTGCTCAACAGTGCCATCAGGTGCCTGTGGTGCCGTCCTGCACCCCAGGGTGCTCAACGGTCCCCTTGGGGCATCCTGCAGCTCATGAGAACCAAGAGCACCTTTGGGTGCCCCTGGCACCATCCTGCACCACATGGTGCCCTACAGTGCCCATGGGTGCTCATGGGGCAAACTGCACATCAGGGTGCTCCACAGTGGTCTTGATTGCTCATGGTGCCATCCTGCACCCCAGGGTGCTCAACAACGTCCTGGGGTGGCCGTGGGGCATCCTGCACCCCATAACAAGTAACGGTGTCTGTGGGTGCCCTGATGCATCCTACAACCCCAGGGTGCCCTTGGGTGCCCCTGGGAGCATCCTTCAGCCCAGGCTGCCCAGTGGTATCCTTGGGTGCCCATAATACATCCTGCACCCCACGGTGCACCCCAGGGTGCCCCCTGCCCCCCACCGTGCCCTCCCACCCCCAAGAGCATCCTTGCCAGCTCTGCACCCCAGGGTGCCCTGGCCTTTCTGTGCCTTCGCCCAACGCCACAGGGGACACCCTGGGGACACCCACCCTGTCACCCGGCCTCTTCCCACCCCTGTAAATAGAATAAAGCAGCTCAGAGGGTGCCAGCGTCCGCGTCGTCTCTGTCACCCCACGTCCCCGTCACTGCAGGGCACAGCGCCCCCGCGTTACCCTGGGTGACGTGTCCCCCTTGCAGCCTTGTCCCTTCCATCACCCTGTCTCCATCCCCGTCACCCCTGGGTGACACCCACTCCCCCCTGTGCCCCATTCTGCGATCCCCCTGCCGCAGCGTTCCCCTTCCCCCAGCGCAGGGGACACCACCAGGTTGACGCAGCCCCTGTCCTCATCCCTGTCCCCTCCCCATCTCCTCCATCCCAATGCCCCCAGCCCCGTCCTGTCCCCTCTGTCCCCATCGCGCCCCCAGC